TTTAAAAACAGATTGGTAGCACAACTAATGAATTAAAGAAAAACACAATCTAATTAAAACATGGGTAAATTGTATTTTTATTAAGTTTCAAGTTTCTAGTAAAACTTTTATGAAAAATATAAGCGGAATCTTTTATGCGTGTAAAACCTAAGAATAGGTAAACCAACTTTTAACCAACTATAATAGCTACAATTCACGGCATGTAACACCGACAACTCGTATTCCTTCAAAAAATTGCGTGTTGTTGCTTTGATCAAGACCTCATTGTAAAACTTTAACGGGACGGACAACCAGGCAAAAGAAAGAGAAAAAATGCAAGATATAAGTCACGAAACCAATGTTCAAATCCACATTTTGCCCTACAAAAATTAAAGAGGGCAACATGTTTCCATGAAAAATAAAGAGTCCAACGGACTATCAGACACAAGATAAAAGATGCTACTTAGGAAGCATGCTTGATCACCACTGTACCAAATAAAATGCTAACCAATCCTTATATTATTCATCAATAATTACGTGAATTATGTTTTCTGCGTTTCCAGAATCTTACGATTGATATCCGTTTTATAGGTATATAGTGTGTTCATTTTACCAGACAATATTGTAACATAAAAAGAGTTAATTGTCTACGAGCTACGTTTAAGAGTGCAAATGTATAAAACGTATTTTATGAATTCCCCTTAAAGGAATATGGAATTAGTTTATAAGATAAAAAAAGACTTTATAATTAAGAAAAGTACATTTTCATCTGGCGGTAACGAAATAAAGTCTATAAAATATAATGAAATATAATTAATACATTACATGGATTTTTTTTATGACTGAACGGAAAAGGAGTGATCATCATTTTTGATACATTTTGTATTTACTTTGTTCATAATTGTATTTTTCCCTTTGATAAAATAACAACTTTACCATTAAAATCATAACGAAAAATTATAGAGATATTATATCAAATTATTTTCTGCAATTTTGTGTTCCAAATTTAGTAAATGTTTTCGATATAAACCCAACCAATCATGTAGTCAAACATAGTCGAACTAGTCAACCGTTAAAGTAAGGGAACGATTTCTATTTGATACCCCTTCGGTTGACACAATAAGACATACACGAAGAGGATTCAAAAGGAAGTATCGCCAACGAAAGACCACGAAAGGCTCAAAAAACCAGAATCATAAGGATACTCAGAATATTTAAGAAAGAAATTGCGTCCAGTTCTATTAAATTACGATTGCTTTAAAACTTTCGACTGTTTGAAATATCTGACTATAAATCCAGAGAAGCTTCGTATTTTGTATTTGTTTTACATAATTACAGTTTAACTAAGACAAAATGGACCTTCATTTTTGCATAGTTGTTGTTTATATTATTTAGTTTTCACATTGGGTTAATAACATTTGCTTCCTAGCGAAGGGAGTGGGCGCCTCTTAATCCAACTAAAATCGAGCTCCAGAAGCCAAATTTTTCAAAAGATCATAGGAAACAATCACTACTGTTTATTCCTACCGTTTTCTTGTCTTTTTAAGTCGGTATCTGTCAGATGACTTAATTGCTAACTTCTACATTTCAACCGTTTGACATATCATAATACTACTAATAAGAAATATCATATTTCAATATAAAATGGAGTATTATTATTTCAATATCGTTTGTAACTATGTGTTATTTAATAACACACGTTCGAAATGAGAGCCACTTAGAATTTATGCAATATAAACTCCAAATCTTTCATTTAATATATTTGCCATTATTCCCTGTGATTACCCGAATCATGGAATACCCGGAAGTGCTACATTAAATTGATATTCTGTTTCCTTGTTTAAAACCAATTTTGGTAGTAACAATCACTAAAAGATCTGTTATAAAGACACTAATAGCACATCATTTCCTTTTTTTTTTCTAATACTGACGACTACGCATATTCAATCTGGAATATAAGGATACAGTTTAACAAAGGATTATTAGTATACAGACAGAATAGGTCTTCAAACTTTCAAACCAAGAAATTATATCAAAGTATTCTGCTGTGCTCGTATAATCCCGGAAAAAACTAAAATAACAAAAATACCGAACTCAAAGGAAAATTCAAAACGGAAAGTCGTTTATCAAATGGCAAAATCAAAAACTCAAACACATCAAACGAACGGAAAATAACTGTCATATTCCTGACTTGGTATACAGACATTTCTTTATGTAGAAAATGGTGGATTAAACCTATATTGCAATGAATCAAACATTACGTTCAATGAATATGTTTCACCCGTTTGATTTTGTTTTAATACTATATAGATATAAGAAGATGTGGTATGAGTGCCAACGAGACAACTTTCCATCCAAGTCAAAATTTATAAAAGTGAACCTTTATATGTATATTATACTTTGTTTGATGTTGTCTCGCGATTTTTAATCGCAAAGAGTGTTTTCCCCCTCCCCAATATATGATAAACCAGCTAAAAATACAGTCACGTAATTGTGATGTTATGAAAATCATGATCTGAAGAAATGCAATCCAATGAACAGCATTGCGAAGACTATTCCAGATCATCAGGGGTGTTTAATAAATGAAAATAACACTTTCCACACTTTACAGGGGAAATAAATATGGTCAAGTCTTTGTCTGGTGTGTTACATCTATGTATCATATAGATCAATAGTGAAATAGATATTCTTTCGTATAAAATATTGTCTTGCCATAAGTTTCAAGTATTTTATATAACCTGCATGTGCACTGCACATTTAATTTAATCATTCAAATTTGGTTTGCATTTTGATGTTTTCTCTATCTATAGTAGTTGTGACTAAACTACTAGTTACAAAATCTTTTCTTTGCAAAGATTTTGTGTTTGTATATCGGATATTTTCTGTACATAAATAAACTTTTGCTCCACTCTCCATCTAATGACAGTAAAATTGAATGAAGAAAAAAGATAAGATGTGCTCTTCTTTCTTATAGTGAATAAAATCTTGCTTTAGACTCTGTGTCAATTATATTCCCTTTATTTATTGCATTTCGTTGTGAACGTCCCGATAATAATCCATAGAATGTCGCACTGGGGATTCATTACTTGGCTTAAAAGATGAATGCGTATTGTTACAGTTTACAGATACTTCAATATATATTCTTTCAGTCATTTTAACGATCTTTATAAAGAAAAGAACTTAATATTATTGTTAAACAGTTACTAAGCCCCCCACCCAACCCCCAACCCCCCAGAATGTCTTCTTGATCTGATTGGTTAAATAACCAAACGCAAACGAAGCAATATTTGCCTTTATATAAAATAATCAGACTAGATAGTTTGAAATTGCGATGTTTCATGCCTCCATTTTTATACATTTACATATCATGGTAATATGTAGCTACCATTTTCAGTAAATCAGCAATGACTAGATGCTTCGGTCAGTTATACTCAAACATTTAAAGGTGTAAACAAATTTCTTGTGAATGGTCAGCTCAATTTGAATTTTACCTGCAGCTTAGGTATCGAAATCGATATAGGTCAAAGGAAACAGTTTTTTTTTCAATTTTACTGTACTTCAGACTTACCTGAGTTCCACCTGCGAAATAGGGGGATTGTTCAAACATTAGATATTTTTTAAACACGGCTATTGACGTTGGTTATCTTAATGGTATCTTCTTAAAAAGGAGACGAAGCCAATAATCATGATTCCGAGTGGCGATTATTGTGCAAACATACTCAGAGAAAATGCACGGTACCTTTTAACCGGAAATTAATCGTATAGTATTAAAGAAAGACAAGTGCTCATGACAGGACATATTCATACCCTGTTGACACATCTGATATCACGAGAGTTGTAGTTCATACAACATGTGCTAACACCAATATGCACACATCGGTTGTTTTTGACTCATGAGCCATAACAAATGATATACTATTTTTAATATCTACATCTTCCTGCTGTTTTGAATAAGAAATTCGATCGTTTAGGCGATTATAGGAAAATAACATTAACGTTACGAGGAAAAAAAACATTTGCTATCAAATAATTTCTTTGTTGTATTTTAGTAAATGAGAAAAAAATTCAATTTCATTTCCTCCTTGGTATTCAATTCCCGCTTAATGACGTCAGCAAGCATATTAAATAAATTAAGTGATTATATTTTGAGAACAAAGGACCTTAAAACAATGGCATGTAATGTATCAAGACAAAAATAGACAGAGAGTAATAAGCTTCTAAGCTAGACTATGAAGCTAATAATGAAGATAATAAGAACACGATATAATTTGTTTCCAGGAACACAAATTGCTGTTTTTGTTTAATTTACAAGCTTATTATCATTCTCCTGATAGTAGTAAAATATGAGACGGAGGAAATGTACTTCGTTCTTGAATTATTGTAAATATTTAATTTCAATTATCTAAAACAGCGAATGTTCATGATTTTAATTCACATTGTCATTTCCATTAGAGCGTGTCTTAAACTCCGATTTTATTGTTGGGATAAAAAATGTCTGAAAGGGTTCAGATATGAAACTTTTTTCTCTAATTCTAATGAATTCAGTTATATTCCAACATTTTTCTAACATTGGACCGATAATTATAGGATGGGAATAAGAAAAAGCAATGTTTTAGATTACTGTTAATTAAGGTTAAAACAAGTAAATACACATAAAATCATGATTTAAACATTATTGTCTCAATTAGTCAGTTTTTAATGCATGTATACTTATAATGAAAGCAGATATATACTATAACCTACATCGTCCACAGACATGTAACGCAGGTTAGGTATTGCAAAAATGACGATGCACTCGAAATACTGGTATGCTATTGTTCCGTCGAAATTCGAATCTCTAGAAAACGGAAAAGCAACCTATATAAAAGCTCATACACATATACGATTATCATTTAAACTAAAGATGTTTTTTTTTCCGATAAGTACATCTTCGATACATATCTATATATTCCTTAACTTCTATATTTCTGCGCTGAACATTGAAATTTCATAACGGTAAATGCTTCTATTTTTCCTTTCAGCCTTAGATACCAACAATGTTATGGTAAAGAAACAAGTTTTCGAGTTGTTGTCTGCTCTATGTGTATATTCCAAAGAAGGATATGATTTGACAATAGAGGCACTAGATAGTTTCAGAGTGAGTAGTATTTCTTTCTTTGGTAAATGAAATATCGTTACACCATCACTAGAGTGTGTTGGCCAATATTAATAGCAGTCGTATCCAGCATACTTTAAATTGCTAGGTTGATGCCCATGATATTGTGTCGGAGCGGATAATTATTTTATATTTAAGGTGGTACCAAATACCTTGACTAAAATTAATATGGCTCGTTTAATTTTCATATAATTTTGACAAAATATTTCCTTTGACCCTTTGACAAAAATATGAAAATTTCAAAAAACTTGAACCACACACTTTATCAGAAAAAAATTCATTGGATATATAGCAGTTTGACAAACACTAAGTTTGATCATTCAGAAGCTTAATATTTCTTTCACAATAGAACGTGATTAAAACGTTCAGCTAATTTTCACAGAGTTATCTCCCTGTATTGTTATGTAACACCTTAAAATTATTTTTAGAATAAAAAACTATTGTAACATTTCTTTCAGTATTTTATTATTTTTCTCTTCAGTTCTACTAATAATTTAGCACAATGCACAGATAAAACGAGCTATTGAATAATTGTCGTAACGGAGGTAACAATTATTTTGAAAAATGATATCTTGATGTCATCAAGAAGGCAGGTATCACTAGTCTCAATTCAAAGATTTTATTGTGCAAATCAATTATATTTAAACAAAAGGATTGGATAAGGGTCAGCAGAAATAAATCCTATCCAATGCAAGATGGATAGAATAACAATTGTTTGTTTTACATATAACAATACTGTCTATATTTGTCATTCGGGGCCTTTTATAGATTGCTATGCGATATGGGTTTTGCTCATTGTTGAAGGCCCGTACGGTGAACTATAGTTGCTAACTTCTACGTCATTTGGCTTCTGGTGCGGAGTTGTCTCATTGGCAATCATACCCATCTTCATGTTTTTATATTTATAAATTATTTTGTCTCACAGTGAGGCAGTTGTGTCATTAGTTAGCAGGTGATTTCCGGAACACATGAGTTTCTCCCCGTTTTGTTATTGGGGTTTATGTTGCTCTATCTTTATTTTCCTGTACAGTGTTTTGATCATTGTTGGTTTTTAATTCTTGTTTTCGACGTTTGGTTTTTAACAGACCAAATCTGTATCATATAGCATTTTCAAAATGATCTTTGTGCATGTTAATCAATAAAAATGTTATAAAATAGCTATTTTCCTTTTAACTGTTTTGATCTGAATATTGTCATTATTTGGTCAACTTTTAACGACTTGAATGGAGTCAGACCAGGAAGCTACTTTTAACGATATCGAGAAAATAATGATTTGGAATGATATTATCTGTGGTATCCAATAAATGTATTAGGATAATTTGAAAAAAGAAACCAAAGAGATCGGATTGTGCATAAATATCAGTTGACATTCACCTGCTTTAATCGATTATTGAAATATTAAATGTGGTTGGGATTTAAAACATCATATACCATGACATTAGCATATGGCTAGTAGACTTAATTAATTGATGCATACGTTGTATGCTTACATCAGCATTATTATGACAAGTTAGGAAAATGAAAGGGAGTCATGCAAATATCAAATTTCATTTTTAGTATAAAATGAAATAAAACATTGCATATTTTGATTAACTTTACTTGTCTCCTTAAGATTAAACAGATTACAAAATAAAAGCATATTAGAAATTTTGAGTAAAAAACGAGAACTGCTGATTTTTAAACTCATTATGTCCAACATTATTTTTGTCTAGACATTAAAGAGACAGCGTTACAGATTTAGCTTGATAGTAAACGAACTGAAAACTGCTGAGTTAATACCATATAAAACAACGCTTGTGGCATTTGTGAACTGCATCTTGGTAGCAACTGAAGAACTAGAAGACAGAATACGAGTCAGGAATGAATTTATTGGTATGTCTGTTATTTATGTTTTCCAGTTGCTAGACAAGATTTCCATTAAAAGCCTTTGATAATTGTTTTTTTTTTTCTTGCTATCTGAAAATCTGTAGTGCAAGGACGTTGCATTCCGTTTGCAGCTTGTGTGAAAGTTTGACGCACCAAACGTTCATATGTCGATTTGAAACATTATGTCCTCAATATGACACTTTTTTTCTCCAATTAAGCTTCCTATGAGTTTCTGTTAATTGAATTCCAAACATTTACCTCAAAATACACATTATTATAAACAGAAAGGTAACATAACGACGACAGTTGAAACACAAGTTTAAGTACAAACAGACAGACAGACAAGGATAAACAATCAGAGTCTTATGAAGACCAATCGAAGTGAGACTATATTCGTTGACAAAATTAGTGAGCATCTCCTGTTGTTCATACAGACTAGATGCGTCGACAGAATTAGTGAGCATCTCCTGTTGTTCATACACCAAGCGTCATGCAGACTAGATGCGTCGACAGAATTAGTGAGCATCTCCTGTTGTTCATACACCAAGCGTCATACATTTCGAAAGTCTTATCCAGTAGTCAGGAACACGAAGAAACCGATATCGTCAGATCATATGTTTTCGTACGTCATATGAATTCGTGCTATGCATGCTTTTTCAATGGAAATTGTGACGTCACAATGCATTCTAAATAGCACGAAAACCCATAATACGAGGATGATAATATTAGATGAGGAATAGTGCAGATATGACATCTATAACGGAAATAATAAGTTACAGAAAAAAGGAAGACGCGTAGACGCTGTAAAGTGTAACCAGTTCCGCAGCAAATCGAGAAAAAGAGAAACAGTCTGATAACCGTGGAACTTCTGAAGTTATAACCATGTAGTTCTTTTTCCTCATAGACTTTCTTAGGAAGTTGTTTAGGTGATGAGTATACATTTGTTAGTGAAGTCATCTTAATATAAACGTACTCTAGTACATCTTTTAAATTGAGGTATGTAAAATCCATAGGCTGTTACAGATACTATGGTACTTTTCAAGAAATGACAAGTTGACAACAGGAAAACTTGAATCACCCCGTTTGTCAACTATAAGAAACGGCTACTCCTACAAATGGAGTGTATCATTTTCTGTTTTAAGTATCAAGCAAATATCATATATAGAAAATAATTTTCCTAAAACTGTAAGGCAGTCATTTCTCAGAGCTATAAAACAAACTAATTTCGATGATTATGTTAAATTACATTTATACAAAACTTCAGGTTTGAACTTGCTTGACCTCATCCATAATCTCAGGGACGAAGATGACGAAGATCTTCAGATTCAGTGTGATGTTTTCGAAGATGAAAAACACGAGGATGAAGAAGAATTATCAGAAAACACCCCGGAAGGATTGGATATTACTGATCATCATAAAATCTTTACTGCCATTTTCCAAAAGGTTGGTTCATTACAAAGAAACAAATACATTCACCCCAAAACAATTGGTAATCAAAATAGTTATCAGAAATTTTTATTTTTTTTTTAAACTGGTAAACCAAAACCGCTGTTTAACTGGTTTTAAACCAAATCATACACCATGCATTTAATGATTAAAACCGTAATCTGAAACTAGTTTGACTGCAATAAATACGCCCTTAATTAACTACATTCATGTTCATTCATTCTGCTTTCAAAAGTGCAATGTAACAACAATAATGAGAATTGTTTTGAACTGCTTTAATCAAACAGAGATAACAGATGTCAATACAAATGAAGAATAAAGAGATGCTTTATCGTTCTAAGTATTTCAAATTAATTTTCTAACAGTTCAATGTTTTATCTTTTCCATAATTGTCTGCAAAGTTTGTTTAATCTATTTGAGTTATTGGAAAATGTTTATATTTTCCGTCCTCGGGAAACATTTATTGACACGACATTAATCAATTGAGAAAAAACTTTACAAAATTCGACGGAAGTTGCATCCATTCATTTAATTTGTAATAAATATGACTGGAGAAGTAACTGACAGCTCAGTCATTTAATGTGATTATTTGATATGAGGACGAGTGTAACAAAAACTTTAGTTTTGTAAGTTTTCTATATTTGGTGGTTCCATGTAAATATTTATAAAAAGCTTTATAAGCAAATATTAAGAACAGAATATTCTTTTTTCATAGACATGAACATTACCGTGATTTTTTTAGTTAAAATCCCTGGTGACTACATTGACGTTTGCCAAGAATAATTGAAATTTATGTGAATATTAACAAAGCGCCATTATCAGCTGATATGGCGGATACAGATATTAAGTAGATACACTTTATAATTAAAATTAACGAAAAAAAACCCCCAGCTTATATAGGGATCGGACTGCATTTTTCACAACAATACTAAAAATTTTCTTGCTGCGTTGAAGACCCATTGGTGGCACTGGGCTGTCGTGTGCTCGTTGGTCGGGTTGTTGTCTCTTTGACCCCTTTTCCCATTATCTATTCTAACAAAAATGCAGACATCAATTACTTGCATATTAATTCAAATTCTGTACAGTTTGAATGGCAATTTAAGATGTGAAAAGAGGGACGTAGAATCCAAATTGATCACGAAGAATATTTATCGAAGTTGATATTTTTATAACAGAGACATTTTATGCGCCAATATTTTATTTGGCGTGCGCATGCTGCACTTTCTTGTTATTACCCGTTTGTAACAACTGCATATTATTAAAACTGAAAGTATCTGTAATATTCACTTAACATTTATTATGTTACAGGTATATAACACACCTCAAGCAGATTCATTTTTAAGTGTTCTCCAGTCCCTTATTCAAATTGATCCAGAAAATCCAGTAAGGTATGTATGTCGATGATATCTTCGGATATATTCAATAATGTTTCAAGTAATTAACAGACTGTAAGATTAAGTACTACATATAGCTATTTCTCCCGTAAACTGGTTGAGTAGGCATAGTTTGTCCATCTTTCTGACCGTCTATTATTAATTACTTATCACCCAAATTGCCGTCTTTTACATAGGAGTGAAGAAAAGGTTTTAAACTAATTCATACAATTATTTTACTTTTATTAAAATAATTTTGAGGTTTCCAATATCTAATCATGGACATTTCCATTTATTAGTGTTTGGATTATTGTGAATACAAAATCTTCTACAGTTTATACTAGGATGGAAAGAACACTTTTTTAATGATAGATGAAATCTTTGTTTATATAAAGATAAGGAGATGTAATATGATTGCTAATGAAACAACTATCCACCAAAGTTCAAATGAAGTGGATTTAAGCAAGGGAATTTGTACATTCCTAACAATATTTTCTACATTTGACTTCAAATATTTTGATCTTTAGACTGTCCCTTTGTTAAGGTTGTTCTTGAGGGGTGTTGTAACCCCTTGTTGATATAGGCAAATTTCTGATATTCTTAAATCAATCAAGGCAGTATTATGGTGAACTAATGATACCAATTGCGGCTGGCATAACATTTGTTTCTAAAAACATCATCAGTAGGGCAGTAAGATCAAGAACAAACGTTAAGGATTCAATTGTCACAAAGTTCTGAACTATCAAAACCAAATCAGACCTTAAGAGAAAACGCAACACCATTCAAGTTAAACATTGCCTGAGGAAGTTTCGTTCTTAATTTTATAACATTTATATCAGTAGAGATCTGCTTACACTTCCAGAGCACTGGATGTCAGCAAGGTCTTTCTTTGGTGGAGTCGTGTTGCTCAGTAATTAGATTTTGTGGACTTGTTTGTCTTTTTCTCGATTTTCTTGTTTTTGCCGTGGAATTGTCAGTATTACTTCGACTTATGATTTTTTATTGTCCCTCCGGTGTCTTCTTCCTCTTTTTTATATGAATATATCTAATTTACGATCTCAAAGTATCACTTAATCATGTCTGTATTTAGACATTTGCATCTGTTCTGATGTAGTGTCCCACGGGCCTGTCAGTGTATTAGCAGCGTAGCCAACACAATGGTAGCAAAATCAAATGTATGAAAATGAAAAAAAAATAAAATAATACAGAAAACGGATACCATGTAAAACAAAAATGTTTCATTATCAACAATAATTGATTCGCTAACTTTCATGAATGTTTGTTTCAAATGCGCTTTTCTCTGGAAGCACCAATCATTTATGTTTTATCCTAATTTGGTAACTTGAAATACATTTCATACTTTGACGACTTTGGGTAAAGTTTGCACTTTATCACAGTTAACAGAAATTTGATAACTTTCTTGTGGGACGCTTGTGACAAAAAGGTCTGGATGAAAAATACATGAACCTTTGAGAAATAGCAAACCAGCTTCCTCCCCATATAAACAAACCCAAACCCACAAAAACAGAAGAGAAAAATAGGAAAGCGAAAATTGTCAAAGGCTAGGTATCACCTTTCAGATATCATATGTGTATATCAATTATATAGAACCACTAGAAAACATAATCGTTCAGTGCAATCGGTATCTAACGTACGTATTGTTATCAAGACTTGCTTGGCTCGCTTTTCTTTATTTTAGCATAATCTCCCTTTGACATAGTTCTTTGAATTCGGGACATCAATGTCTTAAAGAAACATTGCCTAGTTTTAAATAGTCTTTCGTTTTAATACACACAGTCTTAAACTGATTACATAAAGTCATGAACGTTTTTATTTTGTGGTCAATGTTAGAGTTTATAGTAATTACATTTCATGTATTTTAGTGATGTACAGTGGAATTTAATCCAGACTTCAGTGAGGAAAGCTATTTTAGTGGATAAAACTCATATTGGTTGTGATATCAAATCGCTGGTTGTGAATGTTGTGAATCCATTTGAAAGACAACAATCAAATATAGTCACGTGCTCAAAAAGTGTACAAACGGAAAACATTGAATTGCCTTCAGTAAAACAAAGTGATCTTATAATTTCACCATCAACTGGAGAAAATGAACCTCTAAGGATAAATCAAAAGACAAATGGACTAATGAATGGTTCATTAAAATCTTCTAGTACTGCAAGCATTCAGAAACCATTGAATGGTCATGTGACTTCGAATCATCGAACAGATAGTGTAGAGACTAATGACTGTAGTAGTTTAAGCAATAGCGAAAAACATTCTTCGTCGTCTTCATCAAGTTCAGAAGATGAAGACGAAGGTAACAAGTTGAAAAAGTCAAACAAATCTGCAACGAATTCAAATCAAAATGGACATAACAACGAAAACAAAAACAATGCAACTACATTTTCATCTGGCAGCATCCAACCTCCCTCTTCTACTTCACAATCTCAGGCTGCAATGCCTCCACCACCACCGCCGCCACCTCCTCCTCCGCCTGGAATGACTACGGGAATTCCAGCTGCACCTCCACCACCACCTATGCCAGGAGTGCCAGGAATTCCAGCACCGCCACCTCCACCTCCGCTCCCAGGAATGCCAGGAATTCCAGCACCGCCACCTCCTCCACCACTTCCTGGAATGCCAGGAATTCCAGCACCGCCACCACCACCACCTCTTCCTGGAATGCCAGGGATTCCAGCGCCGCCACCTCCACCACCACTACCTGGAATGCCAGGAGTTCCTCCACCACCACCGCCTCCTCCTGGAATGCCTGGAGTTCCACCACCGCCTCCTCCACCACCCGGAGTAGATGGAAAGATAAGAGCAGTACCAGCACCGCTCTCATTTGCAAATACAATGCCTGCACCAAGAGGAATATGGACACCAACACCGAAACACAAGATGAAAACATTTAATTGGACAAAAGTTCCTGCTCATACAATTGCTTGTAAGTTTTCATAAAATTAAGTGTGACAGCAGCAGAATTGAATCGAAAAAATATCAAAAATATTATTTAAATATCAAGTCATTACATGACAAATGAATATACATGTAGATAAATCTTTCTCAAAAAAGCAAATTAAAAGAATTAAAATCCTTGATATTTTTTAATAACATTAACGGTAAAAATTTTACTGCAACAGATGCACATTTCAAAAACAAACTCCATCAACTAATTGGCATGAATTGCCTTCTTCTATTTCTGGGTACATTTCTCATTTAATAACTTGAATCGGCTGTGATCTTATGATCTGTAACTCCTCTGTAAGTAGAATTTGTTTTGTATTTGCCTTTCTTTATTGCTTTAGATTTTCTAAAAGTGTATTTGTAGACATATTTGAAATATTCCACGGCATCATTTAACTTTTTTTACAGATGCCTTTGTTTAGATATGTTTGAACAGAAAACGCAGTGATGCTACTACTCTATATGAATAAATGAGATATTGGGTATATGTCTTAGAGACAGCACCCCTAAAACAAAAATAACCAAAGGATATATAGTGGTCAATATCCAGTTTTCAGCAATAAACAGATGAACAAAACACTAAAAATATGACACATGGCAACCACTGACGCACTCCCCGACTTGGGATAAGCAAATTAACATGAAATGGGCTTAAACTAGTCTTTCGATATCTCCATTTTCATGTGTAATGTATAAATGTATAACAAAATGATTGTAACGATATAAGGTTCCTCAACACGAAACACAAAAAAAGAAAAATAAACAAACAATGAAAACCCGTATACAGGTCTGACTCTTAATAGCAATGTATTGATATATCTTCAGCTCATAAGAATATTTGGAAAGAAGTGCTCGATATGGAAGATGCTATTCACATAGAATATGAAACTATCGAAAAGTTGTTCAGCAAACAACAACCGGTGACCGTCAAGCCCGTCGAACAAAAGAAAACAAAGCAGAAAACGGAGGTTTGTTATCAAATATCTTTAATCTTGTTTTATTTCTTGAGAAATAAGAACATATATATCTTTTGCTAGCTGTTTTATATAAACTGACGGACAAATACGGTATAAAGGTAAAAAAAGTATCCTGTCTCACTTATCGAACATCTATAGTTTCGACTACTCTAATAACCATATGGTAGTGAATATGATTTTGCTTCTGATTTGAAAAACGAATTTGAGTATTCAGGTTAGTTCGTTGGTTCCTTTGACGAACTTTTTCATTCTGAGTTATAACAATCTGCTACCATCACATAACAGACGCAAAATAAATAATAATCACATATTTGTAATAAAACATTTATTCTAGCATGCAAATGAAAATAACACGTCATGTGTGTTCGATGCGCTTATCTGAATTAAACTTCACTAGGAACGCCCAAAATTAACAAAAACTTGAAAGCCAAGATTGTATTAAGATTTGAGCGGCTATATGATCAAAGAGAATATGAAAACCTTGCATGAGGGAGTTGGAACTTAAGTTTCTTAATTAGATCTTAATTAATCAATGGACAATTAAAGAAATGAATGCTATAAATCATGTCAGTGGCGAAGCTACTGATATCCCCGGGATCCAACAGTCCATCTGCTAAAGATATCCTCGGGAATCAACAGTCAATCAGCAGGGGTATCGACCAGTGCTTGTAAAGGAAAATAACACTTTATTAAATGTGAAAAAAAATGAAGGTACTATACCCATGACAGTTGATATGTCATAAGTCCAAGTAGAAATTAACAAAGAGCACAAACAAAAGAAATCGCATGAACTTCAAAGTAAAAGAGACAAGATGGACAGGGTACACATTTCATTCTATGCATCACCCGTCATGCGATTCTAAATATATATTTAGTTGCAAGTGTCAAGGCCACAATTATGTCAAAACCGACACGTTTGACAAAAGAGGGGCGAAAGATACCAGAGGGACAGTCAAACTCATAGATCGAAAATAAACTGACAACGCCATGGCTAAAAAATAAAAAGACAAACAGACAAATAATAGTACACAAGACACAACATAGAAAATAATATGCTTTGGTTTTAAAGAGTTAGAATATCTATCTAGTTGTGAAACTGATTAAGTGTTATATGATCAACCAGTTTGTGATAGCGACCGTAGAACTTAATTATGATAATTACAGTAGTTCTTCCTCATAACGTTATTAGGCTAGTTTAGGACTTAGTTCAATGCTCATACTTGGGACTGTTGCAGGCATGTCGTTTCAACTGACATACATAAACGCCATAGAATGAAGTTAATAGTATTTTTTTAATAGTGACAAATCGAAAGTCAGCAATAACACACTGACGTCATTGCGTTTGCTTTGGATCTCAGTTTTAATCGTTGCTCGGTGTCAATTAAAAAAAAACAACATCGATTTATGAAACTGTAGTGTCTTCAATTTCCAACTCATTAAAAGTTACACTATGTCAGTGTTCATTGCACTGAAGAAAGGCTTATCTATTGAAAAAAGATAGTGATTTATCTGAGTAGAATTAAAGGATTTTATAAGGCGTTTTTCTCATTTTTAAACATTTTGATATATATTCTGCTTAAATCAATATAAAAACAAATCGTACAGCAGATGTGAACAATTTATACCCATTAGAAAACCAACTGCCTATTGCAATATCAATTTGCCAAGCTCATCAAATATATCAATCAGTTCAATAATTGGAAAACGGTAAGTTCTGTTTTTTTTTGTTGTTGTTTCCAGTGGGGTTCGTGAAGTAGTTTCTTTTCTCGACATAGACAAGAAACTGGAAGATGTGGAATTTGCATTTACAACTCATATAGAAGATAACATTGTCAGTACAGAAAGTGTAGACGATTTTTTTGGAGAAACAAAATGAAGATAATACTTTATATAGTTTCGTCCTTCCGAATCGCTTTTCTGGTTTACCTACACCAGGAATGCTCAAAACCCTAAAAAATTGAAAGCAAGGGTTATTTAAGACCTGAAAACGAGTTGAGCTATATGACTAAAAGGGATATAAAAGAATAGACAAGTTCATCTTAAGTCAAGCTAGATAAATATGTTTACTCTGTACTACTATTATAAACTAGGTTTTACTTCTGGATATGAAGAAAAGTATGAACGTGAACATCTTTTTGAAACAATTTAAATGCAGCCATTCTGAGATAGTAGACATGATTGTAGAGGCAGATGTTAATAAGATTGGACAGGAACGTTTAAGGGGCTTACAAAAAATCCTACCGGAGGCTGACGATGTAAGTATTATTTATAATATTTGTTAATAAAAGTTTTACACCTTTTTGGAAACGTTCCAACATAAACTAAACACAACATTTTGTTATTTGTTATTATGGATTTTCGAATAAATAGTTGGAAATTTGAGATTCTTCATCATGTATAAGCTTAGACATAACAGGATGGAATTTTAGAATTTAGAAAAGTAATACGCAAAACATATTCAAGAGCATCAAATTCAATGACAAAATCGTCTGAGGTCAGCTTTGCGTGACAGTTTCGCAAATAGATTGCAAACAACAAAACAGCCTTCCAATTGTCTTTTATATTACAATATAAATATTATATGGAGCATTTCTCAAGGGGATAAATTGACAGGAATAGATGTTTGATTAATTTTCATATAACATTGTTAATGTTCTGTTGGGATTTATATTTTTGTTTCAGATTGCAACTGTCAAAGACTACGACGGTGATAAACAAAAGCTTGGAAATGCGGAGAAGTTCTTTTTGACGTTGTCAGGTTTGGCAGCTTTCAAGTTGAGGATCGATGGTTTAGTACTTAAAGATGACTTTAAACTGACATGTGATTCTCTGCGACCAAATATAGAGACATATATAAGAGCCTGTGAACATCCGTTAGATAACGAATCATTTAAAGTGTTTTTACGCTTTGTTTTACACACGGGGAATTTTCTGAACGCTGTAAGTGATCTTTATAGGGTGTAATTTCTTTTATCGTTATAGCTTTTAAACGCGACATTATAGATCGCGTCTTTTTGCATTTTAGGCATCATCACAAATGTAAATACATATGTACAATTAATTGTATATGAGGTGACGTATTTAAAAAATATGTATGGAGCATTAATTTAACTTCTTAAACAACAATTAATTTTTGTCATAACAGATCCTTTTGGAATTTGAAAATAATCATAACTAGTATAAAGAATATCATTCATGGCATTCAATAGTTATGAACTGGACAAAACTATAAGATTAGAAAGTTCAAGTAGTTTGTGAGACTGAACTTATAAACAGACTTTCCAATCATATTTCTCAACTCAGAATTGTCTGGAAGTTAATTAAAAAAAGCCCAAAACTATGAATTGCTACAAGAAAGCGGGTTGTGTTTGTTTGTGGAAAACCTTGAGTTTGATCTGTACGCAAAAAATCTCTTTTTATGGTGTTGTTGAAAACAAATAAGTTAAATATTTATCATTTCGATTTTATAACGAGAAAACCATCCATTATTGACATTGTCCATTTCTCTATAGAAAATTAAAAGTAACAATATGTTAGCAACTAATAAAGTATTTTTAGATGTTAAAGATAAATGTACGCTTTCTTTGCAAACAGGGTGGATACGCTGGAAATGCAGTTGGTTTCAAAATTAATTCTCTAAATAAACTGATGGACACACGTGCAAATAAACCGAGGGTGACATTGTTACATTTCATGGTGGCTGAGGCTACAAAAGAAAATAAAGATGCTTTGGTTTTTGTTGACGAGATGTATCCTGATCTTAATAGTGCAGCTAGGTGCGTATATTTAGACCTGGATGGTTAATATTCATTTCATAATGTCTAATTATCATGTTATAGGTAGTTGTTAATGAACATTTAAAAATCTATTTGACTGTATATGACTTGAAGAAGGTCAAAAGAAACACAGACTTGTTATTAAAATCTACCGACTAAATAACTCAGACGTTCTTTAATAGAGCTGAAACAAAGTTGGACAAAAATTCTTTCGTAAATGTTTGGTACCGATTTCCTTATTGTTTCACATTTTTACAACGATAGTGGAGGTACTTGTTAAGATCAAGAGAAGCAACTTGCATTCATGTGTAATAAAAAATAATTAAGATATAACAGTTTGGATAAAAAGAGATATAAGGTAAACATAAATGTTACGAACACTCAAGTTCATTATAAAACATATCTTGAAATCACTACTATTCTTTTCGTTGAAAAAGCACTCATTCCGCGAGGATAGTTCTGAGTCTAGTTAAGTCGTGAGTGATATAAACGCAGACCACTAAAGAAGATCTGATAAAAACAGAAGTTGTTATGTACAAACAACATAGCCATACAGGGACAGTGACAACCACTTGCAAATGTCCAAACATAGGAGAGGTCCATGAACTTGCTGGAATAAATCTAGCTTAGATAGTTTACAAGCCTCATCATATAATCTAGATCAATGTATAAACGAATATACACATCCATCGCAGAACAAAAATTAAACCAGAGAAAGCAGTAATTTCAGTTACACCACTTTTCACAAGCTAATAAGTGTTTCAAATAAACCTCATTATATAAAGATTTCGCATTAATATTATTACTGTAACCTTTGGCAGAATTTTTTATATTACTTCAAGGACGCAAAGGGTTAATTGTGTATGTTTATTTGTTTCGTTAACGATTTTAGATGTCTGTTAGAAACTGAAATAAAATACTATAATTTTCTAAATTTTTTCAAATAAAATCATACTTCCGTACTATTGATCAATATCTGTAGTAAACGTTAGTTAAAACTTTGCCCGGATAACAAATTCTTGACCTAATAGTTTTTAGTAATAAACATATTATCCTTATTTCAATATAACACGTAACTGCAAACCAAAAGGGAATTGTACAAATTGAAAGGAGAAATCCATGGAATATGCAATGCTAAAAATGTCCTGATTCTCATAGTTTTTCATATGTATTCTTCATTATGAATATATATCAAAAAATGCATTTATATTATATAAATATATGTATCATTTTTGTCTGAATTTAAAAAAATAAAACATATCACTTATACTTCAAATATACAGCAAACAAGCTCTCTATTATCGTTTTTCACAGTTTCACATTTTCGTTATTTTTTTAAGATGTTCAAAAGATAATCTGACCTCAGAGCTGAAGCAGTTAAAGGATAGTGTACACAAACTGCACAAACAGCTGAAAGGTGCTCCTGATGACGTGAAAAATCAACTTAAAACATTTGTACAGGTACATAACATTGTGGATAATAAAGCGTGTTGAATGGAACTGTTAAGTGCACGTGTTTTATATGCTTTGTTGGGTTGCTGTCTCGTTGACCTTGCTCTGATTTATATTGGGATGATGTTAATACGTTGTTCGGCTGTGCCTTTTTTATGTGCTGATTTAGGTTGTTTTACGTATTCGTTTTTATTCTGTAGTTAGTCACCACTTCGGCGTTAACATGTATATCTATTATATAGTAATTTTTATAAATTTACTGTTTTCAAGAGTATGAATTATTCTAAATACTAAGGATTTTCTTATCCCAGGCATATAACCGTAGCCGAATTTGGCACAGCTTTTTGGAACTTTTTGTCAATGCTCTTCAACTTTGTACTTGTTTTGGCTTTCGATCTTTTTTGATCTGAGCGTCACTGATGGGCTTATGTAGACGAAACACGCGTCTGGCGTATTAAATTATAAGCCTGGTACCTTTTGATAGCTATTATTTGTGTGTGTCTCTGTCCTGTATGTTCTCCAATTTATTTGTATTGTAGTCCTGTCGTGTAATCTTGTCATTTTAATGTTATATTTAACATTGCCATAAAAGCGGGAGGTTTGGCTAGCCACAAAACCATGTTCAACTCACCATTTTTTCTTAAAATGTCCTGTACCAAGTCAGGAAAATGGCCATTGTTATATAATAGTTCGTTTCTGTGTGTGTGTTGCATTTAAGTGTTGTGTTTCTGTTGTGTCGTTGTTCTCCTCTTATATTTGATGTGTTTCCCTCAGTTTTAGTTTGTAACCCGGATTTGTTTTTTTCTCAATCGATTTATGAATTTCGAATAGCGGTGTACTACTGTTGCCTTTATTTAATTGTTAAATGTGGTAGGGATGTATTACAATGTACCTATCTGTTTGTTTTCAGCAAAAATATTTGAAATCAAGTATTGAAATGAAAAAAACCACTATAAGAATAATGTTTGAACGAACACTGTTCTATCTTTTGCATAAAATATATTCAAAGGTTGTACATTTTCCGTAAAACATTGTTTAAACGTCATGATATTGCATATACTATTGTACAGCATTCTTTTAATTTTTAAGAACATATCAAATAAACTCCACATTTCCGCATCATTTGATGTAGACAATACTTCTAGTAATAATAGCTGAAAAATTATTGCTAAAGTATTACTTCATGTTTATTATGTTATAACTTATTTTAGGATGCAGAAGAAGAAATAAAGCAAATGGAAAAGGGAATGAAAAAGATCTCAGATTTGTCAAAAAAATTAGCAAGTCATTATTGTGAAAATGAAAAGTCATTTAAAGTTGAAGAATTGGTAGAAACAATGAAAACTTTCTGCTCTAAAGTTCAGCAGTGTCAGAAGGTAATTTAGATATTGTTATCGTGAATACTCCAAAGACGAATAGAATGAATCCACTATAACATTATTCTATAAAAAAAATTCGGATGCCAAATGTTTACAGCGATTTTAAGGACATATTAAAATGAACGTCAACGTTGTCAGACTCTATAATCTTCGTCGTTGAAAAGGTAAAAAACTCATCAAAGAGAACCAAGCTTATTATGGTGTACGTTACACGTTCTACATGAATCATCAGTTGCGAACGAATCAAAACAGTTTGGAAAAAATCGTTACTAAGCTTTATCTAACTGTTTCGAATGATTTCTTACATTTCATGAACAATAAATTAATAAATTACTACATCAAGGATAATTCCTTTGAGCACAGGTAGACTTACTACTATCCGGACGATACCATCGGGGACGGCCAATGCTAGTGGCTTCAACCCAGTGCAAAAAAAAAAAATCATCAAATATACCAGACTTAAATATTTGTATGCCAGAAGCGCGTTTTGTCTACATGAGTCTGATCAATTGCAATTGACTCAAAACAGATTAAAGGCAAAATCGATTACGAAGTTTTTGAGCATTTGAAAATCAAGATTCGTAAAAGTGTCAAATCTGGCAAAGCTATCTATGCCTTGGGTAGAAGAGTCTTACTGTTTCGAATGGTTTTAAAAGTTATGTACAAAAAATGACAAAAATACGTTGTAATTATGTTATTCTAAAAAATCTGTATCGATAGTATCTGTAAATCTCATATTGATTATATGTTACTATATTCAAAGTTAAATCAATAACATAGATTATTTAAGATAAATAATACGCGATTGATACCAAATGGGTTGCACTTAACTTACCTTAAAGACATCGTTTTAGTTGGTGTCCGTGTAATATAGTTAATTATGTCATTGATTGTTTGGAATAATAGTAAATGTAGTAATACGCATAAAATTCAGTATATTTTTTTGATTTACTCTAAATATCCAGTTACCGTTGTTCGTGGATAGTTAGTACGATTGGGCATCATCTGGCAAAGCAGACATTTTTCGGCATTGTCCGTGATTTATTTCGTCTGTTTTGATTAATGCACAGCTAACAAGTTTTGTGATTTCCCGAAATTCTTTAGAAAAGTAATACCGTGATGGTTTTGGCTACACCTTCAGTTTTTCCTTTTTGTTCTTCTGCTAAATATGTCTTTGTTTAGTTAGCTATAAAACCAGGTTTAATCCACCATTTTCTTCGGAAAATGCCGGTACCAAGTTAGGAATATGGCAGATGTTTTCACTTGTTCCGTTGATAGATTTTGATTTTGTCAGTTTTTATTGACCTCTCCTTTTTGATTTTGCCGGGAGTTTTAAGGTGTGTGCACCGTTTAACTTGACTTATACTCTACATCATGTTACATCGTAAGTAGTTTGCTAAACGGAGGTTTTAAACCCTATCGTAAGTTAATTTCAGAAGTCATGATCACCGGATAGCATTATTGAACAAGAACTTTAAGTCACTTTCGAGCCTCCTTGCGTCCAGTCTTCGCCAATCTCGATGCAATGATTTCCCGCGAGAATATAATGAATCTTATTTATTATGAAGGTCAAACATCAATGTTATGAAGGTTGTTTAATAGTATTGCGGAATACCACTATTGAAATTAACTTTTATCTTAGTGTGAACTTAAAGAACGTAAATGGTCCAGGTTAAGGTTCCAGGATATGAAAGATTTTAAAAAAATGCACTTTAATGTGTTATATGTCATATATAAAAAATTGTATTGACATAATGGAATAAGCACTTCAAAAACATCATTTGAAGGGTAGTCGTTTGTCATAAACAGATTTATTTTTGGAAAACTCAGCGAGTAATCCCTATCAAAACTCTTGAGATCAAATTGATATTTTTACATAAGAAAATTTATCAATTTTATTGCATTCAACACCAACGTATCAAACTTCCTCTGTTAATTTTTGGAGTTTTGTTTTATATGTATCACTTTTTGTATTGTAATAATTGGTATTGTATATATATATATAGGAAAATGAGCAACGACGCATCCAGGAAGAAAAAGCAGAGCGAAGAAGAAAACAGCAAGCTGAAATGGTTCAAAAACATAAAAATGGTAAATAATAGTTTTTTGAGTCCATCTTCTTGACTCACCCACTTGATACATTCTGTGATATCATTTGTACAAATGAAGACTGCTGCATTATATTTATATTGAAATCATGTCAACTAACGGTTCGGCAGTAAACATTATTTATGATGACGCACTAAAAAGTCATACTGAAAAATAGGGAGTTCTGAACATTTTCCATATCGGCTTCAAAAGAATACATTTTTTTTCTTTTTAGGATAAAATAATACGCCTTTCATAATTCTGAATCCTTGATACTGTTTTATGATGTCTCCAATTTGTCAAACAAATGCCAACTGTCCATTTGGTAATAGCCAAGACAACCGAAAATTTCGAAAGGAACAGTTCTTTATTTACTCATGGAAGTGAGCCTTTTTCCAACGTTATAGTAAATATGATGACATTAATATGCTATTTTAATTGGATTTGTTGGTTGACATTGACTCTTATTTTCTAACGCTCATCCGTTATATGAAACACTTCAAACCATAATAATTAATTATTGGAAAAATGGATACAGGACTCCTCTTTATTGTGAACGAGTATACATTCTGAAGATTTTGATTAAAAAGTAGTTAAAGAACTGATACAAGGCATCAAATTTAGCACGCCAGTCGCATGACTGTGTCATCTTCATACGACCGATCAAAGGTGCCCAAGTCAAACTGAAAAACATTGACAACAAAATATTCCCAAAAGTTATGATTAATCTTGCAAATGACATCTATAAGCCTTGGGGTAGAAAATGCTTAGCGTTTCAAATGATTTGACGTGTTATGATCATTAAGGACAGTTTTACTCCGTAAGTATATACAATGCTCACTCAATAATCATTTAAGATCAGGATGTGGATTTCGAGCTAACTGTTTCATCGCATTGCACTTTTTGTATATAAATACCCCATTCTATGTGTGATGTCTAACATTTTTTGGTTTTAACAGGCTTTTCAGTTGGTGATCATGTTGAGATATTGATAATTTGAAAGATTATGTTATTTCTGTATATTATGGATTCATTATAAGTCATATCATGTGATACGAATTTTCGTGGATTTCATTTATTGAGATGACCCACAAATAATAATGTTCCACGAAGTTCACATTTTCTTTAGGCTTGAATGCAGACTTTTTCAAAACCACGAAATCAAATATCTATTAAAATACATTTTTTTACTCAGTCCACCAAAAATTGGTACCATAAAAATAAATAATTAACTGTAACAGTACTACTGATTTTTTTCAGACATTTACAATTTTCTTTAAGACTAGACATACTGATTTTAGCTATAACGATGCAATCTTGTTTTGGTGGTAAAAATGTGATTACAAGATTAACAATATTTTTTTTGGGAAAAATATGCATTTTCAGTTAAAGAAGATTGTATGGGAAAATCAATTAAGATGACATTGTGTTTTTTTTTTATTTTTAGCTAAGCACGAACCACTACCAAAGGACGACGATGGCTGCATAATTGACAGACTACTGACAGATATAAGAAAAGGATATAGTTTACGTAAGACATCTCCAGGAAAATCTAGAGGAAAATCTCCTGGATCTAAATTAAATACGCAGATACCTTCAACACCAGAGGAAATGGAAGTGAAAATTACCGATTCTCAAGCTTGAATATTTATACCACTGTACCAAAACATTACCGATTCTCAAGCATGAATATTTATATCAATGTACCAAAAAAAAAAAACGATTCTCAAGCTTGAATATTTATATCATTGTACCCAAAAATTATTAATTATTGCAAGCTTTGTAAAACTTTCTTCATTAAAGCTTATTCCTCAGGAAGAAAAACTCGTAAATATTTTGAATATTACTGTCAGTGCAATATTTAGAATTACGCAAGTCAGACACAAAAACTTTTATATTTATACTCATTTTGTTTTTTAAAAATAAAATGACATAAGAAATGAAATGCGGAAAAGTATTTTGAAATAGGTTCAAACTGATGCGTTTGTACTGTTCAAAAAATTGTCATCAATTTAATAAATTGTACAAATCATTATTGCCGATTGACAAATATTTCCTTTCAAAATTTAATAACAAGTTATATAATATTTAGAGATGACTGTCTTTAATATTTCCCTCTTATTAAAAATCTTTTTTAACCATTATGTATGACTTTGTATATTTTATATTGCTAATTTTGCTGATAAAAAACCAATACTTGTATTTATACATCTCTTATATGCCGGTGATTAATTCAAAATAAAAGATTTTTTTTTATACTTTGTAGTTCAAATTTTGATTTCATCTGCTCATTGATTTAAAATGTGAAACCCTTTTTTGTCTCGACATGACGGATTCAAAAAGAGAGACACAGGTATGCTTTTTCTGACGGCGTCGGCGTCGGCAGCGTCAACAAAGTTAGTTTGTGATTAGGTCAGTCTATGGGGAACCACTAATGGTAGTTCAATGATATTTGGTATGCAGTTGTGTTAAAACTCTTTGTTCTGATTAGATCAGTTTAAGAGGGACCATTGCTCTTAAGTCAATGATATTCGGTATGCAGTTGTATAAGCATTTGCAAGTCTCTTATCCATGGAGATTATATGGCCCATTCCCTCATCATGGTTCATTGACTTCAACTTTAAAATTGTTTACAAGTTAATGTATGTGCTTTGATTAGTGCAAAGGGCACCACTTATGATTACACATTGGTATTTGATATGCAGTTTTATAAGCATTGGCATTTCTCATTTCCATGGAGGTTATTTGGTCCTGCACATTAGTCATGGTTCATTGAATTTGAATGTTTTTCACAGTTAATATGTTAAGATATTGCCATTTGGATTCAATATTTGCATTCTACTACCAAAATTACAAAAAGGCGAGACATATCTCTGTTTCAACAGTTTTTTTTAAGGGAAAGAGTTGCAGGATTTCGTTTGTAATCGTTTGTTATCGACTATTTTAATATCTTTCTGGTTAAACATGCTTCAATTCTTTGTTTTAATATATTGTATAGATATATCAAAGTGTTTGGCCCGTCCGTCAATTCACCCTTCCGGAGCAACTGAGATCACCCTCCATTCTTGATGGGGTTCGTGTTGCTCACGTTTTTTAACATTGCCATATAAGCGGAAGGTTTGGATAGCCATAAAACCAGGTTCAACCCACCATTTTTGTCTCAAAATGTCCTGTACCAAGTCAGGAATATGGCAGTTATTATCAAATAGTCCGTTTCTATGTATGTTGGCGTTTGTTTCCGTATCAGTACAGTGTTTCTGTTGTTCTGTTGTTTTCCTCTTATAGTTGATGTGTTTCCCTCGGTTTTGGTTTGTGACCCGGATTTGTTTCAGCTTAATTGATGTATGACTATTGAACAGCGGTATACTACTGTTGCCTTTCTTTATCAATCTTGAGTTTTCTATGTTGTGTTTTGTAAACTTTTGTTTGGTCCTTTTCTATTTACCCTGGCGTTAACAGTTTATTTCTCTACTTATAATTTGAATGTCCTTTTGGTATCTATGGTTAACGGATGCTAAATCGAATACTTTGTATCAAATTATAACGCTCAAATAAAGCTTTTATTACACTAATAAACAAAATTATTGTAATGATATTTTCAGTCATCAAATATACCATGCTAATAATTTTGTACGCCAGACGCGCGTTTCGCATCAATGGCACTCGAATTAAATCAATTCCGAAATTCTATAAATTCCTTAAAGTGCCAAATAAGCCTCAAAATTATATCTGCGGGTAGAAAATCATGGTGTTTTGAATGATTTTAACATTTTATGAACAATAAACAGAACTTGACCACCTAAAACATTGATCTATGACTCACGGTAATTTTAAGTTTTCTTATCGTTAATTTTCCATTCTTGAGTTGTAACAAACTATCTGCCCGGCGTACACATACATATTGAATAATAAAACATGTTTACCAAAACAACACATAATCGTGATAGACCGATAAGTTTGGAGAATTCGACCCAAAAGGTTTAGAAGATTTAGTTAGATATGCTAGGACACCGATAAATATAGGGAAACAGTGGGTGTGTTTTGAGGCCTCAGTGAACTTGTATAAGTAACGAAGTTGCAATAGCCTTATCTGATCATGTGTAAGGAACTATTGAGCTAGCAAGTAAAATTACGATGAAAAACTTTAGAAAAACAATGAAATAAATGAAATTGTGAGTGTGTAGTAGAATCAAGTTCATGACTTAAACAATGGTGTAGTTCAAAACAGAAGATAAGCACTGAAAATAAGATTTTACAGGAGACACGTGGTGTGGGTCTCAACATACGAATTTGGGTACAGATACCATCTGGGGTTTTAAAACATCCCAATTCATATATTTCATCGGAAAATCGTAACCCATTTATATATTTCCTAGCTATCAGAGATACAATATGTGATATCTTATTTAGATATTTACCTTGGAGTTCGATAATTTAATTATTGCATTGTTTTACAATTCACCAACCTTTTTTTCGAACTATAGGTTGTGAAGAATTGATACAATTCGTAAAGAGTATACATGGGAAAAGATGTTTTTTTGGTGAATAAAAAACAAAAAAAAAAATGCCAAAAGTTGGAAAACAAATATATGAGAAAGTAGCTCTTTAAAAATACTTTTAAAATGATAAAATGGATCACCGTATTTTTTTTCCTGCGATGATACAAAATAGTAAAAAAATGTACATTCCTTCATAAAATTAAGCTATCTGAGATATCCTCTTATAAGGCTAAGTTAAAAGTATTTCAACCAATCGAAAAAATATTTTTTGTTTTCTTGTAAAGAAACAGTCGTAAAGATGAAATAAAATCACACAATATTTTTCATTAAATGAAAAGTCTTTAAAAAAATGAGTTGCAGTACTGCACTGCAGCAAAATGTTCTTATTTTATTAAAAATCTAGACCGATTGCGTTCTGATATTTTACGATCCAGGATTGCAGAAGACTATCATAATATCTTAATGAGACCTTAAAATTTGAGTTCATCTAATTCCAGCTATTTCAACTCTCATCTTTATATACGTATGTTTGTTATATAAAATATGTAAGCGGTAGGTGTCAATGATAATGAAATGGCACATTTTTACATCGTTTTTGCGGTTTTGTTAGTGTCTTTTCGACTTATGAATTTTGATTGCCTGTTTGGCATCTTCTGCTACTGTTATAAAGATACGATTTAAGGGACGTCTTTGCAGAATTGAACATTATTTAACCGGCCGTAATGATTCTTAGTCTGGAGCTGGCATGTCAGTAGCTGCTAGTAGTCCTTTGTTCATTTATGTATTATTGTCATTTTGTTTATTTTTTTTGTTTCCTATTCTGACATCGGACTCGGACTTCTCTTAAACTGAGTTTTACTGTGCGTACTGTTGTACGTTTGTTTTTTCTACATTGGCTAGAGATATAGGGGGAGGGTTGAGATCTCAAAAAACATGTTTAACCCCGCCGCATTTTTGCGCCTGTCCCAAGTCAGGAGCCTCTGGCCTTTGTTAGTCTTGTATCATTTTTAATTTAAGTTTCTTGCGTATAATTTGGAGTTTAGTATGACGTCCATTATCACTGAACTAGTATACATATTTGTTTAGGGGCCAGCTGAAGGACGCCTCCGGGTGCGGGAGTTTCTCGCTGCATTGAAGACCCATTGGTGGCCTTCGGCTGTTGTCTGCTCTATGGTCGAGTTGTTGTCTCTTTGACACATTCCCCATTTCCATTCTCAATTCTATCTTCAAAAGAAGTTTAACATAAATAACGAACTCTAAGGTGGGAGAGTCCATAAAAACTGACATCAGAGACATAAAACACAAAAAATCTAAAAAAGACGGCAACAAAGAATTTGTTGTAGTTGATAGCAAATTTGGAAAAGACGAGTTCAAGTTACTTAGATTGAGCTGTGACTGCCTTACATGAAAAGTATTTATGAGTAACGATAAAAAGTAGTACACTAATGTTCAATTAATCTCATATGTTCTGATATAAAACAGACGACACTAGGAGTAAAAATAATCGTTTCTTGATGCAAAAGTGAAAATATAAAACAGCAGTAAATAGCCAAGCAAAATGGCAAAACCAGCACTTATGCCAGAGTGACATAAATGGACTTATGAGACCTATAAACACTCGTGAAAATACCAGGCTTATAATTTGGTACGCCAGACAAGCGTTTAGCCAAAATGAGACTAATCTATGGCGCTGGAATCAACACAGTCGAAAGACCAAATTTTATACGAAATTGAAGAGCATTAAATATCGCAAGTTCCGAAAGGTTTTGTCAAATAAGACTAAGGCAATCTACGCTTGGGAGAAGAAAAAACCTTAATGTATTGAATAATTCAACATTTTATAAACAGTAAATTTGCAGAAAATGAACAAATCAATGATATATCAAGTTAACACAAAAGTATTGACTATTGGACTGGTGATACCCTCGGGCACTATACGTCTACCAGGAGCGACACCAAACCCACCTGCAGTGGTTGTGACAAAGTTTTAAAAACATGACTGAGTTGATAAAACAAAGGCATATTAACGATCAATTTATTCAAAATGATGATCGAATAACATGTGAAGTGTCAATTTAAGTAGTTCTTCCTCATAGCCTTGCTTGAGTATTTTTTTTAACTTACGACAGGAGTTTACCGTTGTTAATTATAAGGAAATCGCCATGATGTAAACAAGCTCTGGCATTTGTTATCCACTTAGATAGGCTTGAGCAGATGGTATGTTACTTCTCAAGAATCGCACTTTAATAAATGGAAAACTGAAATTATAAAGTATCACAGATTCTTGTTCCTAGCTGTCTTTCATATTCAATTTCAAGAAAAAAAATCCGTTGTTTTTCTTTCTATAGTAATAATTTCAAGTACAAATGTATTTTAAGATACAATACTCCGCCATAAGTATTCGTAAAAACAACAATGGCGGTCACGTCAAGGAAGGGTAAACACGATTGTACCGTCGTCTCCATGTCACAATCGGGACGACAATGAATCTATATATAGGTGGTTCTGAAGAAAAACATGTAGTTGTCATGTGACACGTGCGTGATGACGTCAAAGTCGTATGCACTTACGTTGTAGCTAATGTAATCAAAATGGGTCGCAAGGGAAAAGAACTGACATCTGATCAGAAAAGTCGTCTCGCTGCATTAAATGATGCAGGTTAAAGAAAAAGTGATATTGTCAAATTGACAGGCATCAAACAGAGAACCGTTGACAGTTTTTTGAAGAGGTCTGAACATCGGGGTGATATAGAAAACATT